AAAAGTGGTGGGGGGGGTCTTCACACTCAAAAGGGTTAGAAAACACTATCAGTCCAGTCCTATGTGCACTGAGATGTGATCTCAAAATTCCGGTGTAGGAGCTCTCATTTCAAAACCACCCTTGCCGCACACTCTCCACGCAGCTCCCGGTGACATCCACGGGATGCTGTATGTGCGCTCTCTCAAGTATCACATCCTTTCTAAAGGGCATCTCAGCTCCACCTTCTCTTCCTGCATCTGTTCCAGGCACTCTTGCAATCCTTGAGCCTCTGTTCTGTGCCTTCTCTTCTCTTCTCCCCCACCTCCAGCTCTCCAGCTCGGTATTTTTAGGATTAACCTCACACCAACTCCTTTCATGCTCTGATGCTGTAGAAGAATCCTTAGACACTGAGTCTTAGTAGAAATGGGAAAAGAATCACCAAGGTATTAAAACAAAGATGTGAAGTTGATGTACAATTTGCATACATCTGAGCTTACTTTGTAGCCAAACTCCCAATATTCCCAAATGTCTACTAGTGGGAAATAAAATTGGAATATTAATGAACAGTCTTTTGACTGGAACCTGGCCACACTGACAGGCTGTAAGTAAGTCTAGCACATAGGTTTCCAGGAGAGTTTTCGGTCTCTGATTTCAGTGTACTGATGGCAGCTGCAATGTCATCAGAAACTCAGTGCTAAGGAAGAGTACCTGGCGTGTGACAAATAGTCAAGAAATCTTTGCCGACTGACTGGAGGAAGTAGACAGAGAGGTACCTGTACTTCTTTGACATCACACAGTTTTCTTTTTGAGAAGATGGAGTCTGTAAGGAAGTAACTAGGTCACTAATAACCCTTTCCAAGTAGTCAGCCTGTCTCTAAGCTTTGACCTGAACACCCTTCCCTCCAGTGTAACATGAAGGCCGGCTAGCTTGTTGGGGTTTCTGTCCCGCCCAGTACCCCACAGCCAGCAAGTCCCAAAGAAAATCACACAATCTACATTAGGTTATAAACTGACTGGCCCATTAGCTCAATCTACTTATTAGCTCTTATAACCATGTATCACCCCATTATCCTTATCTGCATTAGGCATATGGCTTGGTACCTTTTTCAGCTGTCAGCTCACATGTTGCTTCTTCCGTGATCTGGGCAGGAATGGCAGAGGGAGCTTCCTCCTCCCTAGCCTTCTCCTATTCTCATTGCCCTGCCTCTAATTCCTGCCTGGTTGACCCGCCTATTCTTCCTGCCTGGCCAATCAGCGTTTTATTAAAATACATGATTGACAGAATACAGACAATTCTCCCACACCACTCCAGCATACTGTAATTTCAGTCACAAGGGTAATTCATTTCAAGAAAATTCGATACCAGTAAATATAAAAAAAAAAAAGCTTCCAGTGAACCAGCGCCTGAGGGCAGCATGACTTCCATCCTTTCAGGCTGTCCTGTGTGAGCACGGGCTGTCCTCTGAGTACACGGGCTGTCCTGTGTGAGCACGGGCTGTCCTCTGAGTACACGGGCTGTCCTGTGTGAGCACAGGTTGTCCTCTGAGTACACGGGCTGTCCTGTGTGTGCACGGGCTGTCCTCTGAGTACACGGGCTGTCCTGTGTGTGCACAGACTGTACTGTGTGAGCACAGGCCATCCTGTGTGTTCAGGGGCCATCCTGTGTGTGTACAGGCTGCCCTCTGAGTACACAGGTCATCCTGTGTATGCACAGACTGTTGTGTGTGAGCATGGGTTGTCCTCTGAGTTCATGAGCTGTCCTGTGTGTGCATGGGTGCAGAGGCACACACACCTGGCACACCACCAAGTCTCTCCCCTTGCCTTTGGGACTGTTGCTCTAAGCTCACTTTGTCTGTTTCCTCTTATAGCTGCTGCCCTCCTCCTGTGTCCTCAATCCTTCTGTAGTGCTCAGCTCCTATTTCAAGAGGACTCTGGCCCATTTCCCTCCTGTCAACATCTCCACCTTCAGGTTGTTACGGTATGAAGATATCATCTAGCTATGTCTGTAGGCCTCCCCACCCCCTTTTTCTCTAGGATTCCCAGACTCTAGGCCAGCAAGTATATAGCCCAGTGCACACAATGCAGTAACTCCAGGTCATACCTATGTCCTCCTCCTGTTTTGTTTTGTTTTCTGAGTTTCTCTGTGTGGCCCTGGCTGTCCTGGAATCAACTCTGTAGACCAGGCTTGTCTCACACTGAGAGTTCTGCTTGCCTCTGTCTCCCGAGTGCTGAGATTAAAGGCGAGTGCCAGCACTGCACTGTGTGTACCCACTTTTGACCACACTGCCCTGTGTGCCCACTGTTGACCACACTGCCCTGTGTGCCCACTGTTGACCACACTGCTGTGTGTGTACCCACTCTTGACCACACTGTCCTGTGTGAGTACCCACTGTTGACCACACTGCTCTGTGTACCCACTCTTGACCACACTGCCCTGTGTACCCACTCTTGATCACACTGCCCTGTGTGCCCACTCTCAAGCACACTGTTCTGTGTGTGCCCACTCTCGATCACACTGCTGTGTGTACCCACTCTTGATCACACTGCCCTGTGTGCCCACTCTCGACCACACTGTTCTGTGTGTGCCCACTCTTGATCACAATGCCCTGTGTGTGCCCACTCTTGACAGCTCCATGCTCCTCTCAAAAGAACTCTATACTCCCTCAAGTCTTCGGTTCCCCAACCTCCACCCTCTCACCCAGCCTGCTCATCCTTTCTCTACATTATTTCTCACCCATCTTTTCCCAACGGCAACCTTACTGTTTAACCTTTCCACCTCCTTCTCTACCTGGATTCACTGCTTTCTGTAGACCCGAACATGCATCACGCTTGCTAGTGTGGCCACTCAACCACGTCTGTCTTGCCTAGCCTATATTTTTAGAAATGTAGAACGGTATAATTCTCTAACAATTTCTCTATAGACTAAGTATCTATCCCCGTTTCTCATTTTTGAGATAGAGTAATTATTATTCACCCAACTCCAAAACATTTGCCAGTTTTTATTAGTGATTTTTATGTGCAAAACCCATTTACTCATCCAATAGCTATTTGCTGAACATCTAATCTATTAGAGAGTTGATGCTGTGGATGCAGAATTGAATAGGACACGCAATCCCTGTCCTCATGGAACACAGAGGCCAGCAGGTTAGAGAGGAAAGAACCCGTTACACAGTGGTCCCAGCCCAAACACTTCAGGTCTTTCATTAGAGTATTCAATGAGGACTGTGGGTATAAGAGTGCTTGCCTGGCATGTCAGAAGGCTGGGGTTCCATTCCCAGCACCGCATTAACCAGGCATAGTGGTTCACTATGTAACTCCAGAACTCGGGAGGTAGGTGAAGAGAGACCAGAAGTTCAAGGCTATCTTCCACTACGTAGCCAGTTGGAGGCTGTCCTAGTATACATAAAATCAAGTATCCAATTAAAAAGAAAGAAAAGAAAAAGAAATTAAACGGGGTCTGGAGATAAAGTTAGTTCAGTAGATGGACTTACCATCCAGGTGGTAAGTCCAGAGAACTAAGCTGAGCAGAGGAACAATGAAAAGAAGGAAGAAAGAAAGTCAAATGGGTCGGCCCTAAGGGATGAGATTTGTGGTCCAGGATTCAAGTGGGCAAGGAGTTCAGAAAAAAGAACAGACTCTTGGGGGCATGAATGTGGAGCAGCCTTAGGATGCAGGACCCACACATACCATAACGGGAGAAGGTGGTGTCTACAACTGGAGGTGGGCGGCCAGGAGGAAGGGCAGAGAGATGGAAGCAGTGGCCACACTGGGGACTCATTTTATATAAGGATCTTCTAAAAACCCGACTGTCAGCAGCTAGCTCTGCAGAGGACAGGACGGCGACTCAGCCTCCGCTTCCACCATCAAAGAATTTGCAGTCAGTTAGTCAGGAGGGTAGGTCAAGAGTGTGATGATCCATCACACCACAGAAAGGAGAGAGAGAGAGAGAGAGAGAGAGAGAGAGAGAGAGAGAGAGAGAG